ATAATATTTTTTGAATATATTATTATAATTGATTAATGTAACATATAATATATAATTGAATAATTATATAATTTAATCGCACTTTTTAATCGTACTTTTTACTTGCGTGTATCATATTTGCAATTCAAGTTTACAATATGTTACACATTATGATATGATTTATACAAAACAATTGTACAATCTATCTCTCAAATTTATGTTTCGGTGGTAATTAATCGTTAATTTTGTTGTTTTTTTCTTATAATTGTCGAATTTCTTCTGATTGTTCTTTTTTATATATATATATTAATGTATTGTGTGTATTATTAATAATATATTATTACTACTCCTTATTAGTTGTTCTATAAAATATATTATATAACAAAAGGCAAACTTCTTTTCTCAATACAATTTACGATCTACCGTATTTAATATATGCAGGGTCACGATCTGTTACATAAAACTCGTCTGATTGTTCGATTTCAATTGTGATTCAGCATAAAATAAAATTTGCATTTAAAAAATTATTTATATGTACTTAATATTTTTTTAAATATTTTGTTTTATATATCATACACTCGAAATTCAATATATTTTGAAGATATATTGAATAGAGCTTTTTTTTTCGCACAGAAATATAACGATATTAGACATATCTTCATCTCATATGACATTTAATCAAAATTTAATGTGAATTTTTGTTTCACACATGTCATTTTTTGAGAATTTGTTGTTTTTTTTTTGTAGAAATTCGAGTAGGTATAATTATTCGCTTAATAAAAATTAAGTTGAAGATAAAATTATAAATGCTATTGCAGAAATACTTACACAATCTTTATCGCCTATTTGTGTGACGTTCATCCCATTGTTATTGTTAACTGATATTGTATCTGCCATAATTAATCCGTTTAAAGCTGTACATACACATATATTGTAAGATATGCTATAATTATGTTACAATTTTTGTACACTTGTTGATTGTGATCATAAATTTTATAGTTTAGTTTTATAGTTTAATCTTAATTTTTAGTGTTTATAGTATTTTGTGTCTTTGGTTAATTTTTGCACCACTAAAGATTTTATAAAATAATATAACGTTGATTAAATTATCACGCGGATCACATAAAGAGAAAAAGCAAAGAAGTTTGCATCTACAATATATATTAGAGTGTAATTATCATGTAATACACATGTGCATATAAATTTAAAAATATTAAAACGTAAAAATCAAATGACGTTAATGGATGCAAATTGACATACTTTTATTCTATTACTCTGATGTTATTGATGATATTACCAATTTAACAGTTGCAAAACTCGCGTTTCATATGAAATGCACACTACGTATACACACCGAGTGATTCTTAAGCGCATTAGATTCAACGTTGCGGTCTCTGACATTCACCGTTTGAAAAGAGGCAGAAGAAACGTGAACGTATGTACACACACAGTCAACAGGATGAATTTACTACACGCATTTCTCCTCTTCTCTGACTGACTGTGATTCAACTCCTGATAGTTTCACGGACTAAAATACAACTGCGGCTAGACAGGTAAATCGGTCAAGAAAGCGGACTCCCTCCTTCGTTTCTCGTGTGTAGTTCTAAACACCTTTCCATTCGTTTGGTAGTCTGTGATATTTTTAATTATTCTAACTAAACAAAAACTTATAGCTCTACGTGATCTTACTAAAAAAACATGATGACGACAGTATGTGTACGATCCAATTTCGTAATAATTTGTCTTCCACGTGACACAAAAAAAACTTATGAATTATGTAAGCGTACATTATAACTGTGTGCTATAAACGTCTTATGAAGTAAGTGAAATATATCAACAATAAAATCAAGAGTCCTGACATTATTTATTTATCAATTGTTGTCATCTGTATATTGTTTATATTTTGAAATTTGATACGTATGTATATTTCAAAACTTAAAAAATCAACGATCTACCGGTATGTATATTTTAACATTTAAAATAAATCTTAATATCCCAGTAATTTACTTAACCAGTTTTCCTTATACTTTAACATTAGGTTTATTTGGTATTTTTGTGTTAAGTATGACGCATGTTTCTATTTGTGACTTTAAGATTTATTTAAAGTTTTTATCACTTTTATTTAAAGTGGTTTTGAATTAATATATATATATATATATTTATGTATATAAGTAAAAGTACGTATAACTTTATATGCATATAAATATTTATGTGAAAAAAAAATGATTTATTATTATTGTGAGACATCGCAAAAAAGAGAAAGCGAAATAAGAAAGCGTTTTAATAGTAACATTTCAATATGCACGAATAATCCAGACTTTGACGCAAAGTTAGACATTCGACCTCGTCAATTTTTAAGGTATTCATCTTCACGTTAATGTCTTCCGCAAGTTTAATCTGCGTCTTGAGCAAGTAACGTAATGACGCCTCTGCCTGTAATAAAGATTAGAAGACAGAGAGAGAGAGAGAAATGTCAAGATTCGAATCATTATACAATTGTGAGACACAAAACAGCTCTTGCGAACCTCATAAAGCGTTTGTTGCAGATTTGCCACGATGTTTCGTAATTCATGTATCTCCTTGACGAGATTAGCTTCAACTAAATCTTGAGTAAGCTCCGTTTCTGGACGTTGACATCGATGATCTATTCTGATATAAGCCAGAGCTAGATAACCTTCCTTGTCAGCTATAGACTTTTTTATACGTGCAATATTGTTTGACATAGCATCAATTTGCTTCACTATCTATATAAAGACAAAATGTATGCAAGACTTTGTAAGACGCAAAACTTTTTCTGTTAAAAATTATTAGTCTCGACAAAAAAACTAATTGTCTTAACAAAAAAACTAATTACGCAAAGCATCAAGCTTGATTTATGTATACATATATACATAGTGTTCCAAGATTACCGTACAATCTCTTGTAGGCAGGTAAAAGCCGCGCGCCTGGTGTGCGTTAGCGCTCCGCGCGGCTCACTGACGTGCGCCTGGTTAAAAGTCGGTGCTGATTGGCCTCTGATTTACTCAATAATTACTCCTTTATTATAAGTAATAGAAAAAAATGTTCAGGACTTTTCGACTCAGTTTTACTTTTACCTATCTACGAGAGATTGTACGGCAATTGTACGAGACGATTATCGTATATATATATATATTCGTTTACATATGATTTCATCATCGTATTGCGTAAGTTTCAAACCCGTTTAATAATTCAAAGTGTCAAGAAAGATGGTTTTCTTGAGACTTTGATTTCTTATTTCTAAAAAAAACTTTTTTTGCACACCTCCGAATGCTGAAGTTCCATCTTGATCTTAACCTTTCGAGTTTCTTCTATGCGTTGTTTGAAAGCTTCGTTTGTGATAATCCTTTGTCTATTTAGATCATCGATTGTTTGCTTAATTATTGTATCGATGTAACAACGCAATCGTTTCGTTTCGTCCACTTCCTTTCTTGCGCCGTTAACGTTATCATTCGTTTGCTGTTCCCATTCGCTTACTAATATTTCTCTGTACACAAGTTTTTACATGTTATATCGATGTATAATAAAATTACTTGTTTTATTTATATTTCATCAATTAGTTATTATCAAAAACAAACGGTGATGCGCAAAAAAAAAAAACTAATTTGTTCCAATTTCCAGTTTTCAAAAATCATTTTTAAACATTTTTTTATAGCAAGCCGATTTACCCACACGATTTGTCACGATGCAAATGAGCATCGCGATGAGTATTCAAATCAAAATCAGTTTCTTTCAAAGACATAGTATGACGATGGATGCATAAATTGCACTTCTTGTTTTCGAGGTCACGATCGATGCAATGCAATGTTGCCTTCAATTTGCGAATTTGTTCGCAAGTTTCTTCCGATACTCGACTTAAGAAATTGTCAGCTGTTTGGATTGTTTCTCGTTCCTTCAACAAATTTTTCTCGACGTCATCGTGAACCAAGTCAACTCCCAATCTACGTTCTCTGCAACGTTTTGTTTTAGACAATTAATTTTCACGACAAGATCTTAAATCATGTAAACTTTTGTAAAGTAGTTAGCAAAAGTATTGCGCCTAGTGAAGTTTATATTAGTTTTCAAAACAAATCATCATTTAAAAAATTACAAAAAAAAAAAAGAAATAAAAATGTTGTTGACCTGGTGATAAGACAATTTTTACAAATTGTGCTAGCATTTCCTCTGACGATTTTCAGTACATCGGTAATGCGTTCTTTGTATGCTGGGAGCGCGTCAATTTCCAGGACAAGATCCTTTCTAATCCGCAGCAATTCCTCCTTGCGAAACTCGATATCATTAAGCTTTTCTTTCAGTTGATGATCCGTTTCCTCTTTATTAACTTTCGCAATTTCCGTAGCAAAGTCGCACGCACGCGCCGCGTCGGCTAAGAGCCGTTCTGATAATTTTTGTTGCGCTTCGGAACATTGATATCTGAAGTAAATTGAAATTTTTTAAAGTTTTGTGACAATTATGCGTGGTTGTACAACTCTTATATATTCGTGTCTATCATATACTTAAATAACCGTGTAAAACGTGTAACTTTTAAACTTATAAAATACATTAATAATTGATCTATATTAATTATAAATATATTTAACTTATATTCTCCCTGTTTGTGTGTTAAATAGAATTTATATAAATGTAAATTTACAGAGTATTCGACTATTAATTACAGTTAATTCTCTGTGTGATTATTTTTCTAATTAGCATGTTTCTCTCTCGATCTTCTGTAATCACACGTACCAATGTTGCTATTATGTAATTTTGTACGCATGGCTTACTCTAGTACCTGAACTGATTGTTAAGATGCCACTGGTCTATTGTGAATCTTGAAGGAAACGAAGACGTTGTTGTTGATGCGCAATCCATTATCTTCGGTTTTCGCCGAATCGCTATGTACTGTATGTAATTCTGTGCGTATTACGGTTAAAAAAGGTTGAATCAAGCGCAGGTTAGACAGGAATGTGTTTCATCGAGGACAGTTCTCGAAGAGACTTATGTCTTTCTATAATTACGTTTGCTCGTCCCCAAGGAAACGTTTCCGCTTTCTGCACGCGTCGTTGATTTCTCATTTATAATCTATAAGCGTCCTAGAAATTTATTTTATAAACGCGATTATGCATCTTATATTTGCTTCTCGTTGTTGTCAAAAGCAACGTTTATAGATAACCAAAGTTTGTTTTGCAAATTTAGTTCTGACAAAATTATTTTTGTTAATAATATTTGACCATATTCGCGCGAATCAAAATATTTATTTTATACACATTTCATAAAGAGGAATTATTTTGTCAAATTATTTTGTCGTTTGTTTAGTGTTTTAAATTTACTGCCAATATTTGTATTTTGGTTTTGAGTAATTGCAATTGAAAAAGGGCGCTTTTACACGATTTATCTGGATAATCATTTTCTTACTTACCGACCTCGCGCATATATGTATATATGTATACGGTGACAACGATGTAAACAACGCGAGACGTCCGATAACGCCGTAAAAAATATAAATAGCAATGCATGCGCGTGCAAAGATTCGATATAATCGCTAAAATAACTCAATTTAAAAGTACAAACGGAAGATAGCGAAAGGAAATACTTGTAAAACTAATTAACCAAATCACAAGATATATAAATGTTTAAAAAGAGATATTAAAGGTTTTTCTACATATATATGTTTATATTTCCATTCTGTTTTTTGTGTAAGTATTCTTTTCCTTTTGTAGAAAAAAATTTGTACTTTTACATGATTTAAAGTTTCTGAACCTATAAATACGTTTACACAATTTACAGACCAAATTTTGCATGTATCTATCTTATTTATGTCATGTCGCTTGATTTGAACAAGCTGAAGAAAAGAGTGCCATTAGAACGGTCGAAGAAAAAGACAGATAGGTATGATGGATTGTCAGAGAAAGAACTCGAAAAGTATATGTTGGAAGATTATCTGGAAATGAATCTGGATATAGTCTTTGTCGGCATTAATCCAAGTCTGATGGCAGCACATCGTGGTAGATATTATGCAGGTCCCGGTAATCACTTCTACAAACTCCTACATGAATCTGGCTTGACACCGAGATGCATCAGTTTTGAAGAAGATTACAAGCTCTTGCAATATGGTATTGGTTTGACAAACATTGTAACACGTCCGACCAGATCCGCCGCAGACTTGAAGCGCGCAGAAATCAAAGAGGGTACGGGAATAGTTGAGGAAAAACTGAAAATATACAAGCCCAAAATCGCAGTGTTCAATGGTAAATGCATATACGAAGTATTTGCCAATCTCAATAGTAAGTCTACATTTTATTTTGGATTGCAACCTGAACGCATTGGCGAAACGGCAATCTGGGTAACGCCGTCGTCTAGCGCACGTTGTGCTCATTTTCCGAGAATGGTCGACAAACTGCACTTTTACACAGCACTGAAGAAGTACTTGGATTTTCTAAAAGGTGAAATTACCGATGTCGACGTGGAGGAATTTCAATTTGAAGGAAAATGCAAGCAGTCTGTGGCTAGCACTTCCAAGATGTGGCGCCGAAAAACTATGTCCACTTTTTTGCATGGAGGTAGAGTTGTTAACAAAAATACACTTTGTCTGGATACGTCAGAGGAAGATATAGCTGCAGTTCGCACAACAGGATTTCTCTTAGAATCATTGAATCATGAAAGTCACAATAAAAATAAAGATATGACTAAAAATGAAGAAACACACAGAGTTCAAAGTGAAAATCGGACATTGTTTAACAAACCTGCAGAAAAAACTGAGACGAACACTATGAAAATAGAAAATTTTGCAACTCCTGATACTATTACTGGAGATATAATTGTTGAAACAATGAATAAGGAAATTTCTGATGTTGATAAAAATCAGGATTGCAGTGCTATAAGTAATAATACATTAAGTCAAGAAAGTACAATACATTGTAAAAAAAATAGAAAATGTAAGTCTTCACGAATTACTCCGAGAATCGTAGACATTCGGAGCACTTTGAAAAACAAAAATAAAAGCGAGTCGTTAGATTTTATCAGCTTAATTAAACAAAGGTTATCTCAAAAAACTAACGACGACGATGCAATTATATCTGCTTAAAAACTAAGTATTTTCTCATCTACAATATAATCAGTTAAAATAAATATTTATTTTGCTTTTTATCTGATATATTTTTATATATGAGTGTTTTAATTATTCCTTAATATGTACATAAATCTTATTTTCACTGTTATTTAATATTCACACACACAATCGTTCCGTCACATTTATATACAAAATTATTTATTTAAGTTCTTCGATTATATATACTTAACATAAAGGAAACATTTGTATATAAGGTGTTTCATATTGTATGCCGTTTTATGATTTTCATAGATCTGCCCAATTTTCCCTACCAATCTGTTATTAAATCTGCTTTTGACTAGACGAAGTACTGTCAAGCAAAATGCGATTCTTTACGAAAAGGTACAAAAAGAATGAGATTTCTTTATACAAATCTTTGTTTTTCAGAAAATTGAGTAGAAAACGGAGTAAAAATATAAAAACTTTAATTATTTTCATAAAAAATCACATTCAACTTATTAATAGTACAATATGAGACACCCTATATATACAGCGTAATTATAGACTTATAAAATTTATCGACCAAATGCACCATCAGATATAGATGTTACTTTCTGTTGGATTATTTTCCCATAACCACCACGACCACTATCAAAGTCTGATCGGTATTCATCTCTTACCTAAAAGAATAAGTATAGCATTGTTATATCACACATCTTATGTGTAAAATATACACAAGATATAAATTCAAAAATTACTTGTCCTCCAGTCTTTCCACGTCCATACTGTCTGCCTTCTATAAATCCAGCATCCCAGTCGGTTCTGATTATCCGATCGTCTAAACGTGTACCATTTATATATCTCATGCAGTTTTCTGCATCTGCTCTTAGATAATACTCAACAAAACAGAAGCCGCAAGGTGTTTTCTTGTACTTATCAAGACCCATAATAATACGTCTAATGTCGCCGCACTTTGAGAAAAGCTCGTATATTTGTTCTTCGGTGGTATAAAAAGACAAATTACCAACGTATAAGGTGGAAGAAGTCCTCAAAAGCCTGTCCTGTTCTGCTCTCGAACCCTGTGTTTTAAAAATATAAACCAACAATTATTTTAAGTTTTTTAAGATCCAATATGCGAATCAGTAAGTCATGCGAACACCAAACAGTCGTTTATTCTTTTTTTTCACAAGATATTTAACGTGTTTATTGAACTTTCCAGTTCAATCAGGCATAAACAAAACAACTTTTTTGGTGAAGCTTTGAGGTTACTTTCTAAAACAAACCTTAAAATGTTGATCACGATAAGAGCTCAATTCCACCGAGGGCGAACTATTTACATTTACTTTAATCGACATTTTAATATGCAGAAATGATAAGTTTTTTTACACTTATAAAATCTACAGTCAACAAAGTAGCCCCTCAATTATGTACACACAACAACGACCATCTCACAATACCTTCTTAAGCTGCGTTCCAGTGCTGCTGCACGAAAAGGTACAGTTGCGGTCACTGAATCGTTTCGTAGACGCGGAAAACTAAGGGGAAAAACGACGATACTCCCTAGTAGTAAGTAGCGCCAACGAGCCCCGTAAACTAGCGCACGTCCACGGGTGGTACACATTGGAACTACGAAGACAGTCCACGAGCGACACGTCGGTGCGCTATGTCCACAGCGTGCGATTCTATTCTGTGCTATGTGCACGAGTTTAAATGGTCACTTTCTTTAAGTGTGTGAATATATTCGAGAGCGTGAATTTGATTTTTTTGAAATTTAAAATGACCGATCT